TTGACTGACAGCCGCACAAAAACCTTCAGGAAATAAATACAAATCAAACCGGCCACAATGGTCCCAACCCGCTTCTTGTATTAATTATTCGAGTGTCGTTGGCCCGAAAAAAGTCCTCAGGCATTTAAAAAAAAGTGAAAATAAAAGATTTTTTCCAATTACATTCTACACTTCTGGCTGATGACAATTTCACCTTAAAGATTAAGCTGTTTAGATTAAAAGTTGTTTTTTAAAATAATTTTTGATGTTGCTTTGAATTAAATGAGGCTACAATAAATTCAAGACTCAACAACAATATGCAACAATTTTTATCGTTGGCATAGCCAGTTTCATTCTCGAAAAAATTGGTTATAAAAATATTTTTAAATTTTCTAATTAGAGAAAAAAAGAAAAAAACATTATAAATGTTTTTGTCAATTTTGCTAACATAAAAATTAGAATTTCAAAATAAAGAACCTTGTTCTTGTAGATAGATAGATACCTATTATAAGCCCACAAATAATTCAAATAACAACTTATCGATTGCCGTAAGCTCTAAATTCTATTATTTTATTGTCAACTCAAACAATTATTGTTGATCACTCGGTATAATCTCTGTAGATATTTAAAACATTTAAAATACAGCAATAAATAATAGAAGCAACTGTAGGTTATACCTCTTGACATTTCTACATATAAATAAATAGTACCTACCTATATTACAGTAGATACAAGTGAAGAAACTAAAAGTTTCAGTCACAGGTGTGTCAGAATTAAATAGGAAGTGAAGCTGAGTATGAAAAAAGCACACAAGTCAGAGTGCTGTATAGCACTTTGTTCAATCTTTCAAAATTATAGAAAAAAAATATTAAAAAAAATGTTTTTGTTCAATAATTAATGAGTGAAAAATTTCAATAGTTATTTATTATACAAGAAGATAAAGAATCTTTATTCTTCGACACTGTCAAAGTTTACGGTTTTTCTCCCGTGTAAGGAAGTTTTGACAACTGTTTGGCATTTCTCAATACAAAACGTCAAATTATTTTTAACAGATTTAAAGCAAGTTTAAGCCTTGTTGACTCTAATTCGAAGAATAAAATGTTGTATTCAACTCGTTTGAGTGTAAATCGGACGCTTTATTCCACCTCGTGGATGGTAAACCACTCGTTACACTCGTGGTTTAAAAATCCACTCGGTCAAATAAAGAGTCTGATTTACACTCAAACTCGTCGAATAAATAACTATTATCGTCTTGTATAATATTTCGTTTTATTTTGTACTCACCTACCAAAATTTTTTCAATATAAACAGTAGATAAAAATTACTTTATATCGTCAGAGGTAAAAGAATACTTTATCTACTGAAATTAGTTGATAAAAGCACTTTTTAACATTGAGTACAAAATTTAAAAAAATTTGTTCACTGTTTTGACTCAAATTCTCAAACACCATTTTCAAGCTTCGTACAGCATTTGCCTGGAAATGGCAACAACAGCTTTTATATTTCTTGATTACAATATACATTTTGCTACATAACGTTTTTTTTATCAACCCCCGCTGATTAAGGCAACAACAATCTCTGTTAAACATGAAAAATAACTTTATGTTATGAATAACACTACTTTTACAAAACCAATAAAAATACTGCTTGGTATTAATTTTATTTGAAAGCTAAAAATCCAGATTTTGAGTAACAGCAAAATCAGACTTTGCATTATAAACAACCGTCGATTTTATGAATGTAAAGGCAAGTCAGTGAAAATGACATAACAAAAATTTGAATCTCAATATAAATGGATTTGTTCGCGATAAGATCAGTAAACTATAACGAATTCAGACCGAGTTAGGTCGATTGATAGTGTCGATAGTGTCCTTCTTTCTGCGTTCTTTGACAGCTCTCTGAAGGGGATTTCCTCTTTTAACCAAATTACGTATTCTGGAATTCGTTTTAGTCACTTTGATATTTTAAATAACAGAACATTAGGATGACACCGTTGATGTTGCTACTTTTTGTTTACATTTAATAGAGGATGCCAATAGGATGGGCAAGATCGGAAATCGATAATTGAGAGGTTTTTGCTGTTGTCTGATGGTATCAGTCAGACAGCTCGATCAGGCCAACAACATTCGTTTCTTATGTGTGTTGCATTTATACAAACTTTTCCTGTTGCCTTTAACACGGTGTTATGCAATCTTGTCAGAAGATACAATTTTTGGTTTGTTATTTTCTTGTACATAATTGATAATTATTTTTTAAATTGTACTCGCATTTATTAAAAGTAGGTGTTAATAAAAAAGCAACGCAAAGTTGGTACAGAAATCAAAAAAACGTTGTCTTGCTAACTGCAAGAGCATTAAGGTCCATGTTTGTCGAGCCTCAAACAACTCCCTCGAGCGTTATTCCTTTTTTAACAGGCCTAAATACGAAAATAACTATAACGCCCTGTAAAATCTTATTTACCTATGATTTTAAAACCATCTGTTATAATTATGTTAATATTTAGGGCTTTTAGAATTATTTATTATTCATAGAATCGGAAAAACATACTGCTAGTTTTATTGGCAAAACTGGGATATCAAGAGAAATTGTATGTACTACACTGAAAAGTGTATTTTTTTATCCTTATAGAGAAGAAGATAGACTTTCATATACTTGTAGGCGGAAAAGATACACTTTCCTCCCTTGTAATAAAAATAACTATTATCAATCAATTTCATTAATAATGTTCAGAATACACACTAACTACACAAAAATTTATTCATTTGTATGTGATTTTTCTAAAGCTTGCAATAATAAAAAAAGATTTTAAATTATTTTAAAGTAATCTACATAATTATTTCCGCATCAGTTTTTTTCAATGTTTTGTTTTTTGTCACATTTTTTTGAAAATTGTGAGGTAACTGAACTTGTGCCCCAGTGACAAAAATTTAAAAAAATTCTATCTATAAAAATTTCGAAGTTATGAGACTTAAAATTGTTCACTTTGACTCTATTTATTTCTGTTGAAAAATAATTTTCCATTTTTTTTTGCTACAGGATATTAGAAGAGGAAACAAAAAAGCTGTATCCTAAAATGTAACTCTGTTTAATGTTATGTGTGGCTTTTATTGGCCAAATTTTTGTACCTTTACTAAATAATTGTGAAAAAACATATACAAGATCATCAGTATCATTAAGTCAACATAAAAAAATGTCAAATGTCAAAAAATAAATGTCAATTTTTTTTGACAGATAGAATTTTTTAAACATTTTTTTCATGTTCCTGGTATCTTATCTCACTTGAAATTTTTTCTGGGACGCGAGTTCTGGCGCACCTGTATGTTGTCCCTATTATCTATCATTTACACTCCCATTTAAAATGTTTCACATTATTTTTACGAGACCTGCAGCTGTACAGCAATACATAGGTAATTCGGTACAAATTGTATTAAAAATATTTAAAAAAATATTTGTCTTCTGTATTAAGAAATTCTCAAATAATTGAAAATAATTAATGTTAATTCATTGTTAGTTATTGATTACGATAGATAGATTAGTTATTTATAAAATCGGAGGTACAAGTAACATGCGATTGGGGTGCAATAGTCAAATACTTTTATAATTAAATTTTGCGCAAGGCATACCTAAAAATATTCAAATAGGTAATATCTATTGTCGTTTTCTAAGACTAAATATGTATCGGTTCACTAAATAATGTAGTAGTATTTAAAATGTTATATTAGAAACGTGTTTATTTAGATCAACACATAATGTCTAGCAATTTATCATTAATCGTAAAGAAGTTTGTACATACCTTCATAACCAGGTACCTACTAATAGGGTTTTTTAAATAGTAAATTAACATTAAGAATATCTATGTATAAAGTTGGTACTTTTTATAGTAGGTTTTCTTTAGGTACCCCATACAAATTTATGAAGATCTAAATAAATTTATAAAATTAATATGTACAGGGTGTCAAAACTTGCGCCTCTAAGAAAATTTTCAAATAAAATAAGATACCAGGAACATGAAAAAATGTTTAAAAATTTCTATCTGTAAATTTTTTTTTACATTTTTTTTGTCATTTTTTTATGTATATTTATTAATACTAATGATCTTGTATACCTAAGTATGTTTTTTTATAATTATTTAGTAAAGATACAAAAATTTTGCGAATAAAAGCCACAAATAACATTAAACAGATTTACAATTTAGGATAGGTACAGCTGCCTTGTTTCCTCTTCTAATAGCCTGTAGCAAAAAACTTGAAAAATTATCTTTCCAACAGAAATAAATAGAGTCAAAGTGCAAAATTTAAACTCTCATGACTTTTTCATTGATAGAATTTTTTTTAACTTTTTTTCCATGTTCCTGATATCGTACCTTACATTTTTCTCCGAGAAAAAGAAGTTCTGGCGCACCCTGTATAAGTAATAATTCAAAATTTAACCAGTTTTAATCGTTTTACACTAGGTCTGCTTTAAAATATCACAATTTGTCTTTTGCTGATGAGATAAACACTTCGGTTACTGTTTCACTTTATCTGTCATTGGTGTGTTTTCTTTATTTCCAGTTTTCTTTTTCTAATTTATTTACTGCATTACACTTATTGTTACATTATTCTCTTCTTAGAACTTGACGGCTATTCTTTACAAAATTAGCCTTACTCTTATATATAATGTGTATTTATTTTACCATGATGGTCGAAGATTTTGCTTTGTCATTTTTATTAATGCTTTTACTTCTACGCCTAACGAGCAATCGTGGTTGTCACAAAAAATTAAACTTTAGAGAACGTAAAAATCTAACTAATATTCTTTCCGGTAGTATGTATATGGGCGTTACAAATGATTTAGTAACAATCTACCTAAACCTACATTAATTAATATAATCATTAAAACTTTTTAAACAAAATATCAAATTGAACATAAATATTGTGTACCTATCACTAGTATAAGTACTGATTAGTCTGCTAAAAATTTTTGGCGCTTGTATTTGCCAAAAGACACAAAAATATTTTATATAATCAAAAAACACATACCTAGTACACCATAACACGACAATTTGTTGCATAAAACTCACTTTTCACAATCCAAAGTCAAGAAAAATAGTCACTAGCTCTTCAAAATCCAACCCTCTTCGCTCCAATTACACAGCAGTCTTCACTATTCTAATTAAAATTAATGAAGCACGTAAATATTTAATTAATTTCACAACAAGAAGCGTTTCATCAACATGTTATACGGACTAGACAATAATGCACACGATTTACAGCGATTCAATATTTTAATCGATTATCCTATTGATTTACGTGATTTTTTAAGAGAGACACGACGAAATGCGTGTATTCTTATAATACACATGAAAGCTGTGTATTTAGTTTCACTTTTTACCGCCGAAGCGCTGCGTTCGTTGTCCTGATCTTCTATTCAAGATGGCGGCTAACAGTTCACTGTGATTGGTTCAACGAGATAAAATGGGCGTGACTGTTTTTTTTTTCGAGCTCATTGTTTGGCTATGGGTGGGGCTGATCCTTCCAGTGAGTAAATTTGGTGTTGCTTAAGCTTTTTTCTTCCTTTTTTCTAAATAAAATATTAAATATAGGCTTGTATCTTATAACATAGACGCTTCTTCATCATGCCACTTTTAGTTGATATTACTTTATAAGTTCCATTGTTTTTTTTAATTTTAAACTTAAATACTAGCAAAAATTTACGTAGAATGGTTTATAAAATAAGACAATTTAATTTCAGACGTTAAATAATCTTAGGTGTGTATACATTTGAAGATTTTAATAGACATTTATACTTACCTAAATGTTTATTATAAGCTTTGAAATTGTCCATATAGGTATTAGATAGGTATAAGCATTAAGCATCTACTATCATTAGAATTGATTAAATTGATTAGTTATTTACACCGGTGGCTGTGTGTGTTGGATTTAGGTATCCACGAGCTAAAAGAATATACCTACTATTAAATCGGTATAAGTAGTAGAGCAGAATTTGATATGTGTTAAAAAAACTTAAATTTTTGGGAGGCGAGGTCTAAAGTTCGTGAAATTTTCAAAATTAAAATTTTCTCTTCATTAGTCTGATAAGTTTAATTTCTACAATTTGTAGAAGCTCGTTTTTCATTTAATTTTTTGTCACTGATTTTAAATATTGAACAAAAAAATCTCTTTTTTGTCTTTGTTTATAGGCAAAAAAATTAAATGAATCCCATTTTTATATTTAGGTCCATTACACTAAGACATTTGAAGAGACATAAGCCACGAACATCTTCTTATTGGAAGATTTAATTTTATTTTTTTTTTTAATTTTTACAGTCTTTTAGATTTTATATCAAAAAGCTTCTAAGAATAGAAAAAAATAGGTCATCATTCTTGACTTAACTTATTATTTAATTTAATTTATTCACGCAAAAAATGTTTTGCTGTGTAGGTATAACAAATACAAACAGTAAACAAATCTGTACATAGATATTTAAAATTTAATTAATTTAAATTAATGTTAAATTAAAATGTAAGACTTCTTATGATTAAATCAGCTCTATACACTTACACCTACCTTAGTAATATGCTCGTAAGTACACACACAGTAATAATACCTATATTATATAGATATACCAGTTAATATTTACAAAAAACAAATAAATGAATTCAAAAAAAAATTAATTTAAGTATTTATTTTGTTGAAATACATTGATTTTGAGCGATTTCTGATTTAAAATATGATTTCAAGCTTGGGATAAAGCAAAAATGTATTAAAAGTGGCTTAAATTACTTATATTGGCCTCGAATTTGGGATTTAAGCAATTATTTTGTTAAAACATATTGATTTGGAATGATTTCTGGCCTATAATTAAGCAAAAATGTATTAGAAGTGGCCTCAATTGCTTAGTTTTGGTCGAAAATTAATATTTAAGAAGTTATTTTGTTGAAAAACATTGACTTAAGTTAATTTCTATTTTAAAATCGAGCCGAATTGATAGTAAGTAAATACATATAGGACAAATTGGCATATTTTGGCAAAAAAATTGGGATTAAAGCAATTATTTTGTTGAAATAAATTGATTTAGAATGATTTCTGCCTTAAAGTCAAGCAAAAATCTATTGGAAGTGATTCAAATTGCTTGTCAGAATTAATTTGCTCTACATAAAACTTTATAAAAAAGAATAAATGATTTAGAAATTAATTTAATTAATTTACTTTAACACATATAGGAACATGAAAGTAAACAAAACATTGTTAAAATTGAAAGCATCCATTTCTTCAAGCCTGATGGCCATATAAATTGACGCTAGTGAGGACATCATAATAGCAAAGTAAATATTTTTGAGAGAATTTACTGGAATAATTTGAGATCTTAATAATATCGAGCGATCAAGATAATTTGTAATCGAGTCATCCTTGGATTTGAAAACGTATGTCTGTAAAATGTCAAGTAAAAAGACAAGTCGAAAGGTAAAATGGCATGATCAAAAAGGTGATGATTATAACAACTAAATTTATAATTTACCTTCAAAAAAGAACGGTCCTACTCGTATTGTTATACGTCGGCGACTAATCCCAGTCCATTTTGTCGTTTTACTTGTCATTTTATTTGACGTTTCACGTGCAGTTAGTTCAAAAACAGACATACGTTCTCGGATGCAAAGATGACTCGATTACAAATTATCTTGATCGCTCGATACAATAGGTAAGTCGAATAAATGAGTAATGTGAATTGATTAAATCACCATAACAAACTTATTTATTTATTCTAATTAATAGGTGATTCAATAACTGAAACAAATGCTAGTTGAATATTGATATTTTTTATAATCCCAAATATACGTGGTGTATTCTGTTTTATTTGTTAACTTAACATTTGTGAAGGATTTTTGAAGTTTTCAAATTTTGTTATTTTTATTTCCCTCTTCTTTGTAAGAACGATGTCCTACACCCTACAATATACCAAATTTGAGACTGACACGATTCGGGCGAATTTTTTCAACAATAGATAGCGGTATCAATTGTTACTTCAACTTCTATATTTACAATTGGTATGATAATAGCATTTCTGTATACAAACACATCTCATAGCCCCCTCCTTATAACAATACCTTTCTGAACCTCGGTGGATATATCTATTTTCTAACTATTTCTAGTATGGTCAGAATCACATTGATTGACAGCAGGTCGACTAGAGAACATATAGCACAACCCCTGTCACGCCATGTCCACAAACAATCAACCATTCATTTGTATCCGAGCACTATAACTAAGATGTGATGTGTATGAGTAATAAAAGAACCACGAAAGTATTTGGCTGGAATTTCAAATTATTATCAAAAAGCTATATTTGTAATAATCCATACTAGTTATATACCTAACTATTAGGTACATTTTATAAATCATTTTTATTTCTAACGTAAAAAGCTGAATCTTTTTAGGTATTATATTTTTTACACCTGGTTCATGTTTCAGAGCATTCTTTACCTGGACGATGTAAAGAAAAAAGAAACCTCGAGGTGTTTACCTTATAATACCTAACAGATATGGATATTGATATTCAATAAATGGTCGTTACAAATGCTTCAGGTTATTTTTTATCCTGTTAGCTGATATACCAATTTTTCGCAGATGGAATTTCAAACCGCTTTCAATACTTCAGGCTGCATACAAGTGGCCCTCACCTTTAATAATTGAGGGCGACTAATTTTAGCAGAAATTTGTCTTATAAAATATAGTCTAGTTACAAATTTGAACACAAAAGTTTACAAACTGTAGAAATTAAACTTTGTGTTAATAATGGTATTGATTTCAAAAATAAGTCACGTGTTAGTTTTTTCTCGACTTTGGATTTTAGAAGAATTAACTATAGCGAGTGACATCTCTCGGCAAGAGGTTAAAGGTTTGATTTAAGTAAAACTCAATAGGGGAAAATTCTGTAACCCTATTCTTCTTTTACAATCCAGTGAACGTCAAAATGTTCAAACTTTGTGTTCAAATAGGTACACAAAGAAAAATTTCATTTTACCACAAAAAAGTTTATTCTTGTAAAATTCAATTAAAAATTTAATTTATGTTGTAGAATAAATTTCTTGAATAATGTAACTTGTTTAGATGACACGAAATTCAATGGGTGATGTGTGAGATCATTAATTAAAACATGGTTGGTATATATTTTTTAATTTAGAATACATATCACAAAAGATGATTATGCATAATTATATAAAAATGGACAATACAGTATAAAATCATTATAAAAAGCTACATCACTAAATATGGACAGATCATGTATCATACAAATGTATAATAGTCTTTAACACATCTGAGTGGATTATTATAATTAACAATATTAATTCTTTATAATGTACATTTATCAATTAAGTACAAACATAAAAACACTTAGTTGTTACTCAAAAAGTTCTCGAAATACTTCCTCCTATAAAACACTGGTCTTTTCTAAAAGAAATAAGTCCACACATATCTAAATACCACCGGTATCGGCACAAAGCCCTTTAACATATAAGGCTTCAGACTTTTCTACACTGACTGCATTAAGAAACATTAATGGCTATTACGTACATATGAATATCATGCTATTACTTATTGTAAATTTTGACTACAGAACTATAAAGTAGAAAAACCAACTGTTAACTACAACCACTATGTATAGTACCTATATAAAAGTGCATTATAAAAAGCTATGAGCAAAGAACACTTGTTAAAAATTGGAATATGATTGACGAGAATCGTTACATTATTGAGAGCTTTTTATTGTTAAACAGTCTATGCACTCGATTGTATATTATGTTGTCTCCAAGAGTATTTTGGCAGTGCTTTGTGGCTCAAGACAATTAATATACACTAATATTAACTTAAAAAATATCTTAATGATATGCTTTTTACACTACCTACAGACTTAAATGACGGAAATGATATGTACAATTTTATAAACTTCATTTTAACCAGTTTAATAATTTGAGATCAAAAAAGATCAAACTCATCGAACTTATTCTAAATGTAAAATAAATAATAATATTACAAGAATAGTACACACAAGACATACTTAATTTCCTCAACATTGCAGTATAAGGCTTATATAATTCTTCTTTTTATAAACTGGAAGCTTACATGATTATTAAAATTTCGTATTCTAAATTTGGTTTAGATGACTTTGTTTAAATAAATTATTATATTTACATAGACTTAAGAATCTCTTCAATTTCTTTAGCTAAATCGGAGAATGTCGGCCTGTTTTGCGGATTTGCATCCCAACAAGATGCCTGAAACCACCAACGTTAATTGACAAACAGTCACAAATAGTGAACAAACCTGTATTTTCTGTAAAGATTCCGGTGTGGAAGAATGAGCCTTCCACTCAAGTTTCTTTTCTTTAAGTTTATTTAAGAAACTTGTATCGTTCATCTTAGGGAATGGCAATTCGCCTTGATTAAATATCTCCCAAATAACAACCGCAAACGAGTAAACATCACTCTTTGTTGAATACTCATCTTCATACACTGCCTCATAAGGCAACCATCTCAATGGAATTATCTGCAACATTTCCATTACTTTTCAATTTTTCATTCAATTTCACCGAATTACATGATTCATATGTTTGCAATATTCTTGACTGTAGGGATCCCTCGTGAGTCGCGGAAGACCAACTTTGGCTTTTAAAGTGGAAGTGACTAGACAATTTCTTGCCGCCAAATCTCGATGGATTAGGCGAGAAGTGGCCAAATGATCCAAACCTTGACACAACTGGTGAATTATTGCGACACACTGAACAGGCGTTAGTGGAGGAGGTGAGCCCTTTTGGGTCGCCACCAAAAACTGTTTTAAATCCCCCTAAAAAATCCACAATAACAAACACTTTAAACAACTGATTTGCACTAACCCAATCGGTGTGTTCAAGGATCATATAGTGGGGTTCCGCCTCACGGCAAAGCCCGTAAATCTTAGTGACATTTGCATGCGATAATTTCAAAAACATGTCAATTTCGCGTTTGAACTCAGACAAAGAATTTTCATCTTTAGTTTGGCTCAAAGCTTTTACTAAGACTGGCAATTCTTTGTCTTCAATTGGTGGTGTCGATGCTTGCGAATTGCGTTTCTCGGACAGAAGAACACTTTTAGAAATTTTGGCCACCATAACTTCGCCGAATTCTCCTCGACCAATTAATTTCATCTCTTTCAAATGTGTTCTCGATAACGCTAGTTTATCATAATTCGATTTGGATTTTTTTGACTGACTTGAACTTTGGGAATGAGTGGTTTCGGCTCCGTCACTCTTTTGGCCTTCTTTTAAAGCATCGAGTCCGTTGGCTTCCACTTTGGAGGTGCCTGAACAGTGTCCATTGGCACCATCTTTCAGTTCGGTGTGGTCCATTTCACCATTTTCAGTTTTCGCAGCTACAACACAACAATTAAAAAACATATACAAAAATTGATAAGGAAGTACCATCAGTAACTGGTAATTTTCTGGACCTTCTTCGGTATCTGCACCATACCATGAGACCGATAACCAGGACAATGTAAGCTCCAGCCACCGACATTGTGATAAGCACGGCTTTGGTAACAGTTGAATCTCCATCGGGGTGGTAACCATCACGTGCTAAAAATACCCCAATAAATTTTTAACCACAATTGATTTTATCTAAATTTACAATGAACAATTAGTTGCACTTCTTGTCGATTCAACCCAGCGCTATTTCCAGCAGTGCAACCGTATTTGTTTTCATCTTCTCGGTGAACCTCACTTATGTATAAAGTCCCATTTTCCAAAACAGTAAATCTGGAGTGATCAAAATCATTCATTTTTAAATTTTTGTCCCAATGAATGGTCGGTTTAGGGTCTCCTTCAACAACGCAGTCAATCGCAACTGATTGTCCTTCAATGACTTCAGTTGGGTTTTTAGGTTCCACGCTGAATTTTGGTGCCACTAAATGAATCATTTCAACAAATTTGAACCACAACAATCGTAAAAACTTACCAACAACATCAATGTTTATAGTCACATTAATAACCCCTTGACTGTTACTAGCTATACAAGTATACTTTCCTTTATCTTCATTCACCACTCCGTTAAAAACAAGAGTACCATTCATGCTAATAATTCGAGAATTATCAAAAGATTCCCCGAGTTTTTCCCATGTGATAATCGGTGGTGGTGTTCCTTGTGCCTTACAGTGAACTTTTGCAACACTTCCAAGTTCCAGTTTTTTATTTACTGGGGGTGGCACAAATTTTAATTTTTCTATCACAGAAATAGTAGCAGGTTCAGATAAGACAGGTTCAAAACCCTTAGTGAGCACTTCGCAGACATACTCCCCTCGATCATGACTTTCAGTCTCGCGGATTACTAGAGAGGCATTGTGTTTAAAAATTTTGATTCGTTGTCGATCGAGGGAATTTCCCCCGAATTCGTGTCGCAGACTTTTCCCGTCTTTTCTCCACTTGACAACTGTGAAATGGTTCTTGGGTTCGTAGTCACAAGTCAACATTGAGGGTTCATTTTCATCAACTGTGACACTAATAGGTTGTGCGGTAACTACCGGCTTATTTAAAACGACCAATTCGACAGTTTTCTCGGTTTTCCCAGCAATGTTTTCGGCAACACAAGTGTAATTCCCTGCGTGATCCATTACCACTTTTTCTATTATTAATCTCCCATCATCGACCCGGATCTCACCGGAATCTGACACTGTATGACCACCGGTATTAAGCCACCATTTTTTCGCAGGAGGTAAACTATCTGGTTTGAGGCAAGTCAGTTGAAACAGCCCTCCTTCAGGCGCCACAACTTGGTTTGAATTTTCCGCAAGTGGAGGTTCGAACGAATTGTGAGTAAATTCATTCAAATCTAGAATAATTGTTTTAGAAATTGTAAAATAGTCAAATTGTGGTACTAACAAGCTAGTTTCAATTCGGCTACGTAGCTTTGAGGTATTTCAGTAGACTCACTACGGATTCCCACACAACTGTAAAATCCTTGGTCTGTGCCTTGGACATCGTTGATTTGAAGAGTACCATTTGAGTGTATCACATATCTGGAAAGTAACAAATAAAATCAAAGTCGCATGATTTGAATAATTTTTACTTTTTGCTATTCTTGAGTGGTGTTGTGTCCTTCTTGAAGTACCATTCAGTCACTTCAGCTTGTTGGTACTGACAGTCAAAATACGCGGTACCTCCTTGTGGTACCAACTGATCTCTCGGAACCATTTGAATTAAAGCAGTTTCCTGACCTGTTTAAATCAATAAATTAAATAATTTAGATCAAATCGTGTAACAACGTACCTGCAACAGCTAAGGCGAAATTTGTGGTACTGTATCTCGCCCCTGCTGTATTATTAGCCAAACATCTGTAAACACCATTGTCTGAAGGTCCTACATTTTTGATGTGTAGTCTTTTCTTTTTAATTTCAATTTTGTCGGACTTGACAAGTCGATCTGCATTTCTGTAAGTAACTTGTGAGAGTGTCGTGTAAAGTGGGTGTGAATTATTTACCTAAACCACTCGTAGTGGACGTCCCCGGAAGCGTCCGTGTGACACCTGAGAGTGACATCGTTTCCACGCGATATGAATGAAGCTGATTCTGGTTCTTGCAGCTGCACTGACACTTCGTCAATCCCTGTAACAAATAAATAAAATTCTTTAAAATTTATTCGTGCAGATAGGGTTTTGAATTCATGTCGTAGTTTGGTTTATTCCTATGGAATATAGATATAGTGGTATCTATGATTGACGACAAGCTGTTCCAGTCCGTATCAGGAGAAAAACGGCAGGAATTGTAATAAAAAGACTGTTAAATTTAAAGACCGATAAGAAGGTCTATAAAATGTTTAGAACTTCTGCATTAACGACATTAAACCAGTTTCGCAACGAATTCATCCACGGTTGATGTGGTATTCACAGCAAGTCAGGTAAATCAGAGTGCGTTGGATATCCAATTTCTTGTCCATTAATCTTCTGGTGGAGTGCGAGAGTGCAGGTTCTCTGGACTCTCTGTACTTCACCGCTGGTATTCTTACCAGTCGGGGTGGATAATTCGCAATTCAATAATTTGCTGACTGATGCATTTACACGCATTCAATTTAAATGAGAACAAAACCCGCCATTGTGTTTCTACAACGCCGGTCGGTTCATTACAGAGATTAATACCAATATTTGCTTATGATTTACGACTTCCTCGATTTAAGCACTCACTCATGTATTTGTATGAAAACGTTGTAAGTTACAGTAGGGAAAAATTAATGATTATTAAGGACAAAACTCTGAGTTTTAAATGCAAATTTCATAAACACGTAGTACAGTAGTACACGTCCAAAACTCCTTATTTAAAAGATTTTCGAACAAAGCTCTTCTAGTAGTTTTTTCATAATTGTATTTTTTCAGAAATTTATTATTCTACATTTTATTGACGTTTGTTCAAACATTTCCAAGATTTTGCAATGCTTTAATTTATTAATCTCTCAATCCTGCAAAAACCTACATTCTAAAAATTGTTTCAAATTTATTTACTTTACTTAAGTGATTTTTATGCAATCTTCTTAAAAACTGTACTTATTTATAATTTATAAGTATGTATTTTATTTCATTATTTTTTTTTAGAAATCACTGAAATCAGCATATGTAAAACTAAACCACTATTTATTTGAGACAACTTTAATGTCGCTTGTGTAGTAAGTAAAATTGTGAAAATAAACCTATGCTTTATTAAAAGTTCTAACTAAATTAGTAATCAGCCTTGTTTATCATCACTGAAACGGTAAACGTGCAGACACTCGAAATCTGTACATCTCGTTAAAATTTTAGATTACTTTTATACTCGTATTTATTGCTTTTTCAGACTGCTCAAACTTATAAATATCAAAAAGTTTGTATAATTATTGAAAAAAATTAAATTTAATGTTCATATTTTTCAGGACGTAAGCTGCTTAAGCTCTTATTACTTTTTTAAGATTTTCATTTTATTTTCTCCAATCAAAAATTAAAATTAAACAAACGCAACAAAATTTGCTAGTGGTTTAGTCAGTGGCACAGCTAGAGTTAGAGTTTCGGGCACTCATTTAAACGTCATTTCAAAAAAGACGATGTAGCACAATCAGTGTTGGTAAAAATGTAGCATAAAATATTTCTAAAAACAGAGTCATCAAGAGCATTTTGTGTAACTGAAAACAGTTGCGCAAAATGCCCATTGTGACATCGAAATAGAAAATCTCTTATGCTTTTTTGTGCGCTTTCACTGACTTATGCTTTGTTCACTTATTTGTTCTTATGCTCATTCTCATTGTAATTATGCCTTGCGTTCTTATTAACTTTTATACCCTCTCTCTCTTATTATACTTATTAACATATGTACATGTTTTAAAGTCGCGCTCTTATGCGCCCGCCATCTTTTATTGCTAATTTAAATTAGTGTTTGAATTAATGAAAAATTGCTCACTTGAGCTAGGTTCGAACCCCAGACATGTTGAATTTTCATAACGTTTTTGTACTTGCCTAAGTCGCTGAAACCTCCAACAGAGCAAATGGTCCAAATTGACGTTTAAAATTTTTTGTCGAAATTTTGGTCGATTTTCGGTACCTTGAGCGGTTTATTGCTAATAATTTTGGAATTATTCGTATTGACGCTAGTCCTTTATGTTTGGTATCGTTGGAAAGCAAATTTAATTCTTCATCCTATAGAACCTCCAAACCACCCCTCGCTGTGCCACTACGTTTACTTGCGTTTTTACGTTTTCTCTACTTAATTTCAAAATAATTGCTTCATTAAAAAAGATAAAATTTCCTCGATTTAACATAAATTAAGTAAATCTTTACAGTTTCACTTCCTACTACATCTGAAGCGGCTAATTACTTTATATAAAAAGGTCTTAATTGAGAATAAAACTAGCATTATTTTGACGTTAATTATTTAATTTTACCTCGTCTCAAACCTATAAAAGTACCTACGCGATGGATGAGCCATAATTATATTTAAATATGTATCTAAATGTTTTACAGGTTGGTTATAAAATTTTATCATTTTTATTAATCCAGGACCAATCGTAATAAGAAATAAACTGTCGCAGAACTTAGTGCTCTTCAAATTTAGTACAATAATACTTACAACTTAGAACGAGCACAACCTTTCTAAAACTTAAATATTGTTTATAATAATCGATAATTTCTAAAATTTGTTATCACAAGCATTATCAAAAGCTTTCTAAAAAAACTTAGTATTATTTTTGTGGAGGTTTCTAAAAAAATTAAATTAGTTTTGTGCTGTGAGTCTGTAATGTGGATAGGATTAAGCAGTCGGCAGTTATTTTTCGAATAAAATTAAGAATGAATATGAGTACTATAATCAAGTTAGGTAAACTACTGAACAATTTCTGACGTTGTAGTTATTACGTGAATTTTTTTATTGGTATTTTTGAGGCTGTAAATTATGTTGATCGCTGTTAATGAAACAACACTAAATGGTAGATCAAGTTGATTGATCGTTTTATTATGTTTAGAAGGTGATAATTAGAGTAACAAAAGCTTATGTTACAAATTTGAATTAATTTTAATGAAGGCCCCAGTTTCATTCTTGAAAATTCTCAGTTCGACATGGTCGTATTCATCCCTCTGTCGTCTTTAAAAATAAATGTTTGTTTTAATGAATTGACTCTGTAGTCGGCGCAAGAGAAAAGCGTCCGCGTTGCCTATTGATGGTGTTAGCCTGAAGATGATCCAGACTCGCTATGAGAAAGTTAAAGTAAATCCAATTAATGGTTTCCTGTAAATAGAAGGCGTACACTGTGTGTATACGAAGCTGAGTAAATATACAAGCTCCGACAGCGTATCTTTAACACGTTGCCTTCAAATTTCATAAACCATAACAGATTCACTTAGCTGCTTTTATCGCCTAATCTTTAACACCTACCCTTGAACGTAAACTTTAACAGTTCTTTCGGGTCTGTACAAACATATCGACGCAGGCTGCACCAGTGCTACCAATCTTTTAGTGCCGAAACTCCATATTGCCTGCGGCACGGCTTTGATGGAGCTTTTAACCCTTCCTCAAGTCTGTGTTATCACAATATGGAAGAAACATGTTGTGTTCAACTGTTCCTGTTTAATTTAGCGAACATGACCACCGCGATTTCCGTCTTCGCTCTAATCAAAATCGACTTAAACGTTAGCCGGTTCTCTTTAATTTCAGTGAAAATAAGCCTCCGGTTTAACGGCATAAGGAAGTTGGAAACTTCATAAAAGTTCAATTAGGTATGCAAACTTTATTTGCGGCTTAAGTGGGACAAGAGTGCCTCGTTACATAATAATTTTACATGTCATCAACTTGCATACGGCCGGAGTTCGCTACCAAAGAAACCACTTAGAGTACAAGTATACCAGTCACGAATTACGAATTTTAAGGGCATTCGTAACTTTAAAAAATGATGTAGACTTGGCTCAGGGTAAAGCCAGATAAGCGAATTTATATCAAAGTGCCTTCAGTCAAAGGGAAAGGATGAAGTTGCAAACTCTCTTGGCTATAGCCAAAGTTGATAAAATCACACATTCTGAAAAAGAACCGCTAGAATCGACGCGAAACTAAAATGGAAAACCATGTCCCTGTGCAGATAAAATTTATTGAAAAGAAGAAAAACTTTGTACAAAGAGGTGATACTCTCAAGAAAGAAACTTATCATAAGCACCTTCTCCTTATACACAAAGTAAAACATCGGCCATGACTCACTTTTCCACGTACTCTATTATTTGAGCTTGAAGAAAAATAATGATATTCATGAAAAAACTCCCAAATGTAGGCAAGTATGTGACTTGGTTTAGCCTCAAAGGCCACGTCTTGTAGCTACCAAGAATCGGAAGAGAAATATTAAATAATACAGTTATTACTTGTGACAAATTGGATAGGAAGCCGAAGTAAAAGGAAAACGAGAAAATGAAAAATAATAAATAACTCTCAGAGAGGCAAGCGCGAAAGCTACAGATGTTGACTTTAGCTATTCGGTTTGAAGGGTAAACCGTCAAAAGGACAATGTAATTCGTTTTTTTTTTCTTAGGTCTTCCATCTCTCGAGGTCCGGTAGGATTTCTCCTAGGATTACTGACGCTACGTCATTGCTGAAGGGATAAAATATGTCAGAATTGTCTGTTACACTACGAAAAATATGTTTCGTTTACGGTCTAGACAACATAAAGCTGCAATTTTCTCGCAATGTTATGGTCGGTGATCAATAAAATGATTCGCTGAATTGATTTATTTTTGTATTAAATAATTCACCGCAAATTACATCTAATATCAAGTTTGAGGTTTGACCACATTTAATACTTTGTAAATATTTAAGTACAAGAAATGCCTTGTGTGTCTGTGGCTCAAATATGCGGTAAATTCTTTTGAGAAAATTATGGTAATAATAGGAGTTTGAGTACAAAACACTGAATAAGAACAGACGTCAAATGTGGCTCAAATATCCATTGATATCCATTTTACTGAACATACACGCAATACGCTTCATGTCACGTCATCTGTCTTGTTTCTGAATTGTAACCAAAGTTTTTCATAACGTCATTAAATTATAATTTCATGAATAATTCCAAGCAGGTGGTTGTTTTCGCTTTTTGTAAAAGTGCTAATAAATTA